AGAGGAAAGAGGATATGACTACACAGGGAATGCGGCGCCAAACATTCATTCATAACCTTGTAATGGGATTTTTTTCTGTCAGAAGAAAGGAGCGCATCGCAAGGTGTGCTTCAAGGTTCTGCCTGAAAGTCGTAACAGGTTCGTACGATTTTCAATCGTTTCTGATGTAGTTCTTATAAAACGAACGTTTACGAAATACAGCTTCAATGAAAAACATTATTTTGTGCCCGCTCACTTATATCACTAACTTTATTTGGTTGTGGAACATATTTTATTAAAACATGCTTTGCCTATATGCAAATTGTATCCGGGGGCAATTCGTCAAAAGTTCAACCCATGGTTTTCGTGAAATATGAGTACTAAGTCGATCGTCTCTCCTGAAGTCTGGAAGCTTGAAGTTCACCGCAGAGCGTTCAAAAGTATGGTCCGACTTCGCGCAGTTCTACAGGAAGATAACGCAAAGCGAACGAAAAGTAAAGCTGCCTCATAATCTTTATACTATGGGTTTGCAAAAAGACGAAAACCTTTTACAAGGCACACGATGTATTTCGGTTTGCGTTAATGCTTAAACGACTAATTTTAAACGAGAATTGTAGCTGGTTTATGATGTCCTTCGGATGTCGAAATGGGTTCTGACGTCGTTTGTTGCCCGTGCACCTTACAGCGCTTTCAAGTCTCAGTCAGCAGGACAACAGATCATAAAGCTCATTTTATACGCATTGCGTGCCACGTGTAAGACACACGCTTCTTTGCAGATTGACAACACAAAGTCTTCAATAGTGCACTTACCTATAGCAACGAGGGTTTTCTCGGAATTCCTCGTTGCTGTAGACCAGTGTATTGACACATCATATTGGACGTGAGTCACGATTTCAAAAGGTTTTGGTCGGGCGACTTGTTCAGCTGTTAGAAGTTAGGTCCAAGAGTTCTTAGCAGGACTCTGCACTCCTGAATTCCTGTTTATGACACAACTTCCGTAAGTAACGAAGTTCAGTAGTTGTAGTATATCAACATATTTTGTCGTTTGAGCAAGCCTAAATACATACGTATTATAGTTATTATCAACCTGCAACATTTTCAGAGTTCGATTAAAAAGAGTTGCCACTATTGAGGATAAGGATTTCATCTGTTAGTCATCACTGCAGGACTGCTCAGTAACCATTGATACGCGTGAGCTCGTCAGGACCTGCAAACTAAATTCGGGTGATTGGCTGAAGACACAAGTCACATATGTGGATTATTTCTTATACTTGTTTGTTTAACTTATATTTAAATATTCATAACTGATAGATAGTGTGCATTACTTGCCTTATATATACATATATATGTGTGTATATACTGATACGTGTTACATTGTTGAAGCTCAGCTACATGCCGGTATACGATTGGACTTCCTGGAAATAATATTATTCCTACTTTTATACACTCAGCTTCATTTGTTTTTAAAGGAGCTGAATTTTTATTGAACTTCAGAAACAGCAGGCAGTAAGTCGTTGCCATAACTTTGACGAGACGAAGCTTGTGAGAAAGGCCTAGTCAAGTAGATAGGCCTTTCAATTTGAACGTGTGTGGGTGCTTGTGTACAAACACCTCAAACTGTTTTTCTGAGGGTCCGACTCGCTTCATCTGCTAAGGACGCCTTACTAACCCACAGCAAACAAGATCATGTCGAACAAATATATAACGGTCTTTGTAAGAGCGAGGTTTGCATTTCAGGTACAATCTTAAAATTGTCTGACGCCATTTTAGGAGCACCAAGCCGCAAATAAATATCGACGCTCCACAAATAGGGATAAATCTCTAAGCATTTTTAAGGTATCGGGTCTCTGCTCTTGATCAGTGCTAGAAACGTGTCTACTTAGCTCTAAAGAAAACCTTGAACTACGGTAGCTCGTCAACATTGGCGAGTATGTATTAAAGGTTATATATCATCATATATATATATATAGGTATCATGAATTCTAATTAAGAACTATCTGAGGCAAGGAGCAATGGACGCCTTGTTTGTATGGGCGAACAGCGCACCGCGTAACCATAAAGGATCATTGTAGACGGTAGAAAAGTAATTATTACTTTACAGATATCTGGTCCACTCCGTCCACTGGTACTCTTAGGCCTGTACATGCGCGAGGTACTTTAAGCAATGTGATTAGAATTAATGTGCTCGTAATGGAAGATGATGCCCTTTTTATATCGATCAGTATGTGGAGCAGTTTCCACATGAATTTGTACTATGTTTGGTATTAAGCCTGCTTATATGTAGGACCTAAGTCGTTCCACCCATAGATCGATAAAGAAAAGGTGACAAGCTAATTATTATTACTATTGCAAACATTTCTGTTTAAAACTATTTGGACGTAGATAAAACTACTTTGAAAGACAGTTCGTCATTGTAGGTGCACTGTAACAGGCACAATAACGAAACGGAACAGGGATGAAGCTACCCTAAGATCCCGTAATAGAACAAGAACGTACCACAGCACAGTGTCGAAATCATAAAAATAGCAGACCTAGGCTTATATCTGTTAGGCTCGACTGGAAAGGCCATGGCAAATCTCAATCGTACTTTTTAGGTCTATAGGTAATAGAAATTAAGAGCAAATAAAAACATAATCTCAAATTAGACATAGATATATAGTAGTATCATCATCACTTGTTTTGAAGTCAAAATAAATGTCCTTTTGCATTAAAATAGAACAAATGTGTCACTAACCAACGATTAACTGTTTCGTACCAGAGTAAATTTACGTTTTATTAGAAGATAGCTAAAGAGCATTCTGTCTGCCGTGTTGTTTACTGTAACTTAGAGATCTCCGATATGAATATAACTTGTTTTCAGAAACGTAATTATTCAAGAAAGCAGCAAGAAAGAACGAGTGAAGTTTAAGCGATCATTCACAAGAGTTTCAAGGATTTGCCCGTACTGTGGCAGACTTGAAGCCTCGGAGAAGCCCGTCAGCAGAACGTTCGATCGACGTTCTAGTGTCGTGGAGTAGCAGCTTTTATTGCTGCCTCTGAAAATATATATAATAGATGCACGGATTGCAGAATTACTCCCCGTCTACTACGACACAGAAATTACAAAATGAAATTGCAATAGAACACATTAACAGGGTCAGCACCTTTCGATTATCTAAAATTTTCCCTTTACATCTATAAGCATCGCCTTACAAATTGGAGCAGGCGTAGCGCGCACTTACCGCTTTGTGAGCTTTACTAATAATCAAAATCGTCAAGAGTGCTTTGTTCCGTCTACCCCCAACAAACATCGCTTCGCATCACATCAGCAAACAGAAAGCAAGTTATTGCGGTGGAAAGAAAACACGATTACCCCTTAAATCATCGAAAGGCCACCCATCCGTTGACACCCTTCCCTAAATATTTAATTACGCTATATATATACATATATTCTAGATTTGTTTATTAAATGACACCAGGTGAACCTTTAACTGGCTTCTTCGTACCCTTTCTTAAACTATAATCGAATGAATTTCAGTCCGTAAGCGGCTGGTCGGCACTGAATAGTGGGCCAACAAAAAAAATTGCATTATGTCACGCCAGTAGCGTTGTTGACGACTGAGAGACAGGAAACGTTTGTTATCGGCCGTTGTACGGCGATTTTAGGGTTGACAGAGGGTCGAAGCAGTTCTTGTTCGATCGTAAGCAGCGACAGTCAAAATAAACGTCGAGAGTGGAAAGCAATTTGCCAGTACTGACAGTGATAGTGTCTCTATAACGAACAGAGTTGTGACGGCTCATTGGGTAGATTTGGAAAACTTGTTTACTTCTACTTGCTTCTTTCCGGCAGAGTCGCTCTAGAGCATCATCCAGGCGTCGTTGATGTATTGGCGTTAACCTGCCATCGCTTTTGTTGCTATGCGATAGCAACAGCGCTGCAGTATGTTCGGCGCGGTGACAATAAACCCTAGTGAAAGCATTGGTGACAACGTTGGTTGTAACAGCTGAAGGCATTGCTTCGAAGGCGATGAAAGACTCGATAGTATTATCTATGCTGTTTCTGGATTGGACCGCGCAATAGCTAGTGTTGCGTATTTCTCCCTACGCGCCGTGTATCCTTGAGTTTTACAAGGCGAAAGTCAGTATAGCCACTTTAGGTACAGGCCGATTATTCCGGCTATTATAGAAGTAGAGTCAGTTTCTTAGTCTATAACAAAGTGACCCACTCTCGTTGCAGCGATTAGAATGACCACTTTATTCTCATTTGGCCTATACATAATCACTGAAACCTGTACACGGGAAACGAGTGCTTTTAATTCCTAGCTTGGAGTCGTCGATATCAGCGCGATCTATGAAAATAAAAAGACGATAAAACCATAATTACTAGGAATATAAACTATAGTGGACCTACGAAATGCAGAAAAAGCGAAGGCTGAAAAAATTAGTCTTTGTGCAAGTAACTACAAGTTCGACGAAGTTCCACCTGTAGTTCCTTAAGCCGATCTATCGATTCCATTTAAGTTGGTTTCGGCTCATATTAAACGAGTTCGTAAACGAACTGGTCTATGTTCAACCGGCTATATTGCAGATCTAGAAAGTGAATTTCCTTGCTAGCATACACTGTATACTTATTCTCTGCACTGTCATTGCATTGACGAAGTACTGGTGGCTAGCTGTTGAAAGATTGAACGAAACAGAGCTTGTTAATGTGTTTTAATAGTAATCGTGATTCCATGCAAGTGCGCTGAGTCGCTGCCGTCGCTCCGGCTTCCAGTGGGACGTGGGGCGGGGAGGTGTTGTTTCCCTCTTTAACCCGCTTCACCCATAGTTACCTGAAACGTTACGCAAAATCGGTCACACTACGCCCCGCATAAACGCTATTACTCCTGACGCTAGCGACACCGCTCGATCAGTGACAAAAAAAAATGGCGACTCAACAGTTAACCTGCGTCCTCCCTCGCCTTTGCCGGAGATGGCTAATCAGCGGCAATCTAGCTGGACATCACCTGTTATGCCATGGATATATCTGCGTGCGATCATCTATTTGCCATTGCGCTGTGTCTTCCACAGGGCGAAACGATATCCGCAACGCATACTACGAAGGCGCAGTTCACCTGAACTGCGTCAGTTCTTACACGCATATGTAAACCAGTGAGAACCAGTGGTGCACTATTGTGAACAGATATTTTTGCTTGAGCTGATATGATGACAACACGTCTGCTCGTAATGTTGGGAATGGCCGTTGGTGGCGTCTGGGCATCGCCAGCGGAAGAAAAACTTATACAGAGTCTGTTGGCAAATTACGAATCGAGCAGCAGACCTGTGACCCGCACCGGCGAATCGCTGACGATCAATGTGAGCTTTGTGCCGATTAAACTTGATGTTGTTGATGTCGACGACAACAGGTTGATGCTGCATGGCTGGGTCAAGCTATCGTGGAAAGACGTGCAACTTAAATGGAACGCGTCGGATCACGATGAAATCACTATTCTCAATCTTCCGATCGAGACCCTTTGGAAGCCTGATCTTAGGCTATACAACGCTTATGAATTAAGCGTCGAAAACACACTAACCCTTGTCAGCAGTGATGGAACGGTAAGAATTTAACACTGTATTAGACAGTATATTGCTATCGACAGACGTTGGTATATCGTCCTCGCATGGAGTCCTTTCGTTCGATAATTCAAATCTAGATAGCCCTTGTTCGATCCCCATAAGGAATCGAATAAAAAAAGCATTTTCATAGGTGAAATCGAGAGTTTTCGGGCATATATGTACACCTACATACTTTTTTTAGGTAACCAGTGCCTTTATGCGTGTGCTTCTCTTTTATTATATTTCTTATAATAGCAGGTTTCGGGGAATGATTTAGCCTGTGTGCGTATGCAGTTAGCATAATCTGTTACATTTTTCGTTAATCTCACATTTTATCCATTATTTAACGATAATCTACTTCAGGTGCTGTGGGTGCCCCCGTTGAGCGGTGAGGTAACATGCAATCTTAGCGCGATATGGTTCCCGTTCGATATACAACGCTGCACTCTCGTCTTTGGCAGCTGGACGTACGACAAGACAAAAATTGACCTCCAAGTGGGCACCGATCTTGATAATGATGTTTTCATGCAAAATAGCGAATGGAAGTTGATTTCTACAGAAAGTGAACGTCGCGAAAAGAAATATGTCTGCTGCGAAAATGCCTACCCGAGTGTTCAAGTGACGCTGACTATACAGCGTAAAGCTTGCCGGCACGTAGTAGAACGCGTCGTGCCGCTAATCGCCGTTGTGACTCTTGCGCTTCTCACGATGATGATCCCCGCGACGAAGGCCGATATCCGTCTGTTAATCGTCACCCTGCTCCTGGGTTCGGCACTTGTACACCTTCGGTCATCGGACGAATCGGTCCCAGAAAACTTGTCTATCCTTACCGTTCTCAATGGCTTGTTCATTGCAATTCTGTCTGGCCTCTTCCTGTGTAATTGTACTCATTTGGCTATTTTACGCGGTCACATGGACTGCTCATTCTTAGCTAAGCTGACGGGTCTCGTGGGGGCAGACGGGACCGCAGGCGAGAAGTCAGAAGCCCTCATTTCTGATGTTGAGCAACGTTACCACCGTACGCTTGATTCCGTCTTTACGGTGCCACTTGCTTTCGTCGCAACGCTTTCAACTGTATTGTTCTTCTCGGTACCGCTATTCTGAGCAGAGCGCCTAGAAACGTATAAAATTTAGATATACGTCTGCACGTATGCCCGGGTAACAACCGATAAATCGCTAGTAGGACCTAAGATACAGTAGGATATAGTCCTGTGGCAGACCATATACTTATATAAATACTTGGTACGTCCAAATAAGTACTAAAGCGGCCAACAACGGGTCAGTCCGCGTAAAAATGTACCTTTTTTCGTAAAATAAACTTATATGCAAATTAGGTGAGATTATTTATTACGATATTATTACTATCACAGGTGAAATATGTATATCACGTCCATCGATAGAGCTTTAAGTAAAACCGTGCATATAATTACTATCGATCTATACAGATACAGACAACGGACATTCGTTCCGCCATCTATTGGGCAGCTAGACTGATTGAAAAAAGTCATTAAATAAGGTATATTGAGTGTGATTGTATTATTATTATTATGGTATAGTTTTTGTTAAACGGTAAAAAAGCAGTTACACAAATGATCCCGTCCTCGAATGATTTGTCACTGCTATATGTTAGAAACGTACCTGAAATATTGACTGGCTCGAAGCATGAGATTATAGTTGGTGGTTTAGTTCCCATTAGAAGTGGTGTATTTCTATTCAAGAGGTGTAGTGCATAAGCCAACTAGAAGCAAAACACGAGAGCTGATATGGACTGTATGCTTACAGACAAGAACTTTATAAGGCTGTTCTGTTTTCCATATAACGTGCTATCACTCAAATGTCTGGCTATTGCCGCACGGTCGGCTATTTTCCTATTGAGGAATATTGATCAATGTATGGGCGTTAGTTTGAACGACAGAGATAAGACAGACTGGGTTAAAGACAGACAGACAGACAGACAGGCAGGCAGTAATATTACATACGATAAGCTCTCTTGACTGTCACATACTGGAGCTAACAAAAAAAAGTCAGGTATAAATAATAATGAATTTTTCCCGGGAATTAATTAGAGGCGACGAGCTGTTGATGGGACTGATTTTATAATTTTGAGCAACAAATAAGCGTAAGCTTCCTAGCGTACGGCATTTATGTTGTCTTTTATTATACGTCATTGTTTATATGATCTGTCAGTTGCTATATAACAAGAGAGGGACGAGAAGTACGGTTACGCTAAAATCTTCATCGGCCATGGGAACTAAACAGGAGCGTCATTGGGTCTCGCTTCTATTGATGCCACTGTTCAATATGAATAATTTTCCAGTGAACGAAGTGGTACAAATTTTCTTAGATTGTATTATATTTTTTTTCAATACTAAGCTTCACACAACTTTTGAAAATTACGTTCGATAAATCAGCGTTTGAGAGACAAAAGCGGTTTGTATTTTCATTCATTTTTTATAAATCCAATCCGTCTTTAGAATAAACATAACTTGGATTGCAGTATTCTCCTGCCATCGATAAGTTAACGCGATAGAAATCAATTCACTTCGGCGCAATACGTGTTTGAACGAGAACACAATTTGAGGTTAGCAATTAGCTATGCATGATAAATCCGTGCATTTTTATCAAATCAACCAAGGTAGATCGTTAACAAATTTTCCTGAAGTTAATAGAACAGTTATGTTAGCAGGAGTTCTGAATAATGATTCGTGTACAAATTTCATCCGAGTAAAAATACATCATCTCGATTTATGCAGATAAAGTTCACAGATAACTCTTCATGCAAACGTATCATTCGATCAGTTCCAGCCACTTGTTCGTCCTTCCTAGATCGAGCTGGTCTATAGAACAGACTATGGTCTTCTCATTGGAAATGTTTGCTAAAAAGCTAGGCAAGCTCTGGCGATGCCTAATGAAAACTTAGAAGTTAGCTTTGCATCGATTTAATAGCATTTCGGTGTTTTCTCACCTGGGGTCACCAAAGAGAACGAGACCTTTGTGTCAAGAAAATTTAGAGTTTTCCTAACTGGTGCTGAGGCTAGTATAATAATACAAAGCTTACACCTTCTACCGAGCTTACCTTTTCTACCTAGAATAAAGGGCCGAAACGCACGCGAAGATGAGTATTCTTCTCCAGAACTAAGGGTTTCATTCATTCTGAAGCTAATTGTCAAATTGCTTCCTTCTCGATTAACTTCTGCTTGAGTAATAAGTCCTAATTACTGAAATAAATCACTAAGACACTGAAATGGATGCATTAATCGGATTCGTCATGGTGATTTTTAAAAAGATCCTATCCTAGATAATCGCGACAAGCCATCAAGTTACCCTTGGCGGAGCCACTCTAATTTGCGTCAAAAAAAAAAAGCTGTTTCCCGAATAAGTAAAAAAAATGTGACGCGTTCGACTATCGTGTTTTTCTGAACGTTGGGCAGCAGTTAACTATTAAGTTTCATCACTTATATATGTATAAGTGGTGAAACTTCCTCAAATCAGGAAGAGTGCCACCTTCATAACACTAATAGGGATTTGCTAAAGGATATATAATGCTTTTGTAGAAAATCAGAAGCTCGCACCAAGAACGGAAACGGTAGATCATTTCTAAAATAGCGAATAATGTATAGCTAGAAAACAGTCTTTTCAACGTATAATTTTTCATAAATTTATATATGTATACACTAAATACATAAAGGCAATAAAATTGCGCCGATAAGAAAATTAGTTCATTAATTACGTGAGCGATTCTTCAAATTGACACGTTCTAATTCTAATTCGTTGAAAAAACTGCATCACAATGGGGACCTCTTAGTGAAAATGCTTTCATTCGATCAGGCGACGTTCCCGCTTATGGCATCAACTCTGCACACAATGCTACTCTGTGGTCCGGGCCAAAAAAAAACTAGGGGGTCGATCGCTATTGACAGGTGACCCAAAGTCACCTTAATAGGTTAGGATTTTTCCAGCCTTTGAGAATCCATTAATGGTTACGCTATGAGAATCATCGGTGATATTAATATGTTTCACGATACGATAGCAAATGTACCGCAGAAGATTACGGCGTATCGTACATGCACAGGCCCACCACAAACATCCTCAAGTATGCTACGTCAAGTTAAACACAACCCACTTCCAGCGGTCGCTTTACTTTATTTTCTCCGTCCGCATTAACGGTTACATAGTCGGCCAATGTGACGTGAGCGTTATTTAAGGCAAATAACTGTGTCACTGCGTTAACAGTGTTAATCATAGTGTCGTAGCGATGACCAGCGGCAATAGCAAGCTGACAACAACAAAGGTTTTTACACAAAAACTACGTCTGCAGGAAGTAGCGAAAGTTAAGAACACGTAACTGACGAACGTTAGACGCAGCATAGTCAACGAGACGAAATAACCTCACGATTTTATACGGAGACCAATGATGAAGTGCGCGTTACTCGTTCTGGTGTTTGCCTTCAGTTCAGCCTCGAATGTTGCCGCCCAAAGGAACTCCTATTTGCAAGCTTCTTACAGAGTGTGGCCGCACCAATAGGTCTGTAACTCGTGCACGTGACGCGATTATTGTCAGCGCAAGCTTCATGCCGACTGCAACGGATGATTTCGAATGATGCTTCGCAAGTGAAGACAACTGCCGTGAACGGACACGCAATTCGGTCGAACGTCTGGAATCACGAAGAGACAAAAGTGGCGAATCTACCAATTAAACGTTTTCTAAAACGCGACCTCAAATTCCACAACGGACTCGAATCCAGTGTCGCTTTCTTCTGTCGTAACTGATAGAACGGTGATTATTTACTATTTTACGGTGTGGATTATACTTACTGAAGAATGGCCATTTGAAGCTGCACTTGAATTTCTATTTGGCGTTCCAACGAAATTAAAAAAAAAAATAGCGTCACCGTTGTTCATAAAGACTAATCCCAAAATAACAATATCTTTTCATGTTTTTTTTGACAGAGATACTCTGCAAGAGCGATTTTATTCAGCGCAATTATCATTTGCTTCAGCCTAACCCGTGTCCGAAACCGTACATACGTTACTGCGAAAAAATGCTCGTTTTTAATTTGGGGTAATGTTTTTTATTGGCCGTATTTGTTGTAACGGCTTATTTAAAATGTTATTAAAGAATGTTAAAGTTTCACTCAGATACGCCCGCCATAAAGAAATCTAACGGTGCTTAGTTGAGCTCCATCTCTCGAATATTCATGCTTCGTGAAAAAAAGAAACACTGAAATTTCTGATATTCCGAAGAAGCGCAGCGAAGGCCGACTATTTGGGTGTACCTGAACAACCGGATGGTCTTTCAGTATGCCCCGAATAAGATAGCATCTTATTCTTGTGCATCAAGGTTCTAATATAAGCAGAAGGTACGTTGTATCACTATTTAGGGGTCTGTAAGTCCTACGTACGACTATGGGAACTAGAAACGGCTTCAACTGCTGAGTTCAGATAGCGAATTGGGCAAATTTACGCGGTGGCTTCCGCGAAAAGTGTTTCTTTATTATTGGCTTTCAAATTCTCTCATTATACAACTATGGCTGTGTCATCATTGTTCTGTTGTTGATAGAAAACAGAGGTAAGCAAACAAAATGCATCACTGTATGAAAGAAGCGATTAGTGAAGATTTTTTTCAAATCAACTAGCTAAGCATATAGAGGGCGTAAATCTCATGCCCAAATTACATCGATCGATTAAACATGTCGTTCGTTTTACGTGTTCTATTCTCTCCAAGGAATTAATTTGATCGGCTGACCTATAATCTGTGAGAGCGGAGACGATTCCAGCGTTCATATCAAGCTGCATTACGGCGACAACATTTCTTACCTGGTGCTTTTATTTAAAGGCCTGCCACATTGTTACAAAATTTCTCTATCCATCGATCGAACATTTTAACTTACAAAGTAAAATTTTATTTCAAAAATCGAAAACCTAGCCTTTGCGTGAATATGAGTTAATTTTATTAACTTGGATACGGCATTAACTCTTATATATAATATATCGAGTTATATATATAACATATTAATGTATTTCATCTTCTTGAAATCGACCTTGAGATAGAAATAAATTTTGATCCGATGATGATCTGTACATAGCGAACCCGTATAACCGAGTCATCTTGGGACCGAATATAAAACTTCACAAGAAGTTTTCATGCATAAGATCACATGTTGATTTTTAATACTGTTAATAGTTAAATGCTAGTTGCCCAGAAGGTAGCTAGTCTACCCACCAAGCAAATCGCTCAAAATAAACACAAGCGAAAAAATTGCACTAACAACAATAACCGCTACTTCGAAAGCGATACACTCCACATGTAAACATAATTTATAAACCGCGGAA